AAAGTTAGAACACATAGTGGTACACTTTATTTTGTTACTTTCATTGATAATTATTCAAGGAAAGTTTGGGCTTTTCTTCTAAAAACTAAAGATCAAGTTCTATAAGTATTTAAGCATTTTCAAGCCATGGTTGAAAGAGAAACAGGGCAGAAATTGAAGTGCATCCGATCAGACAATGGTTGTGAATACATTGGGCCATTTGATGAGTATTGTCGCAGCCAAGGTATTCGGCATCAAAAGACAGTTAAGATGACTCCTCAACAAAATGGCGTTGCCGAGAGGATGAACCGCACCATTGTGGAAAGAACAAGGTGTTCGCTTTCACAAGCTAAATTGCCAAGATCCTTTTGGGGTGAGGCAATGAAGACAGCAGTTGACGTGATCAATTTGTCTCCTTCATATCCTTTGAATGGTGATGTTCCTGAAAGAGTTTGGACCGGTAAAGATGTGACTTATGAGCACTTGAGAGTGTTTGGTTGCCGAGCTTTTGTTCACATTCCAAAGGATGAGAGGTCCAAGCTTGACAGTAAGTCAAGACAATGCATTTTTCTTGGCTATGGACGTGATGAATTTGGCTATAGATTATGAGATCCGGTCGATAAGAAAGTCATTCGAAGCCGTGATGTTGTGTTTCTTGAAGACCAAACAATTGAAGACTTTGGCAAAGGTGATCAACCGGAGCCAAGAACTAGTGATCTCATTGACATGGATCCATCTCTTTCATCTTCAGTTGATGATGAAAATGGGGGAGATGTGCAGCCACCTATTGAAAATGTAGAGGATGATGCTAATCCTAATGAAGTTGAGCCAGAAATTGAGGAAAAGCATCCAACTCAAGAACCACCACCACAACTTGAGTTGAGGAAATCTACAAGGGACCGACAACCTTCAAAAAAGTATCCTCCCAATGAATTTGTGTTGATTTCAGATCAAGGGGAGCCTGAGAGCTACCAAAAAGCAATTGAGCATGCAAAGAAAAGTGAATGGAAAAAGGCCATGGAAGATGAATTGAATTCCTTGCATAAAAATCACACTTATGATTTAGTGAAGTTGCCTAAGGGGAGGAAAATTCTGAAAAATAAGTGGGTTTTCAAATTGAAGAATGATAGTAAGAATCTAAGGTACAAAGCATGACTTGTTGTGAAAGGTTTTAGGCAAAAGAAATGTATTGACTTTGATGAAATTTTCTCGCCAGTTGTGAAAATGTCTTCTATTCGGGTTGTACTTGGCATGGCTGCAAGTATGAACCTTGAAGTTGAATAACTTGATGTGAAGGCCGCATTTCTTCATGGTGATCTTGAAGAAGAAATTTATATGGAGCAACCAGAAGGTTTTGTGAAAAAGGGGAAAGAGAAATTTTTTACAAATTGAAGAAAAGTTTGTATGGCCTCAAGCAAGCCCCGCGGCAATGGTACAAAAAATTTGACTCTTTCATGATGAATAATGGTTTTTCTAAAACCACTTCGGACCATTGTGTGTTTGTGAAAAATTTTCCAGATGGTAAATTTATTATTCTTTTGCTTTATGTTGATGACATGTTAATTGTGGGTCAAGATTCTACCATGATAAACAGGTTGAAATTGGAGTTGAGCAAGTCTTTTGCTATGAAAGATTTGGGACCGGCAAAGCAAATTCTTGGTATGAAAATTGTTCGTGATCGTTCTCTCACAAAAATTTGGTTGTCTCAAGAAAGCTACATCGAGAAAGGTATGTGCGAAATTTGTTGGAATCCACTGATAATAGCAGTAATGGTGTTGACCTACCTTTGTACTATTTTGCCAAAGCAGTACATATCGACTGGTATCAGTTGGTATGGTATGGGATTAAAAAACCTGCTCATATTTAACAATTATTAAAATTACTAAAATACCCCGAACGGCTAAAACTTAATATACTAAAAAACTGATCGACAACATATTAAGTTAAAATAAACACAAATAAAACTCCAAAAATTATTCAAAAACTTGCTCCATGATCCCTTGAACATGCTTTATGTGAAATTTCATATTGAACATTGGGCAACGGTAAAATGGATTCTGAGATATCTTCGAGGGACTTCGAAGGTGTGTTTGTGTTTTGGGGATGGTAAGCCGATGCTTGATGGGTTCACAGATTCTGACATGGCTGGTGATATTGATTCTAGGAAATCTACTTCAGGGTATTTGATGACTTTTGTAGGGGGAGCTGTGGCATGGCAATCTAAATTACAAAAATGTATTGTTCTCTCAACTACTGGAGCTGAATTTATTGCCATTACGGAAGCTTGCAAAGAAGAGTTATGGTTGAAGAAATTGTTGCAAGAGTTGGGTTTGAAGCAAGAAAAGTATGTGCTTTATTGTGATAGTCAAAGTGCTATTCACTTGAGTAAAAATTCTACTTTTCATTCGAGATCGAAACACATTGATGTGAGATATCATTGGATTCGCGATGTGTTAGATTCGAAATTGTTATAACTCGAAAAGGTTCACACAGATGATAATATTTCAGATATGTTGACAAAGACTTTGTCAAGGGACAAACATTTAAAGTGTCGAACTCTGGTGGGTATGGTTGATTTCTCCACCTAAGTCGGTAAGGGGAGAATTGTTGAGTATACCTCCTTATTGGAGTGTGGGACCCAATTAGTTTACTAAAAGAGTTTTAATTTGGTTTGGTTTAGATATAATATATTTTTATATATTATATCTAATTTTGTGGAGACCTAATTCAGTTTGGTAACAATTAAATTTGATTACAAAATTCAAGATTCAACAATATATATAAATATATTGTATTTGTTTTCGATGCACATGGTAGCAGCTAATTGATTTTGGTGAGATAGGGCTTGGTATGATTTATTCGGTGCTATGAGGTTGCTACAAATCTGTTCCACTTTTTCTGAAGTAGTGCGGCTGTTGATTTGCTAGTTCGTTGGTGCTTTGGAATTTTTTTTTTCAGTGCATCTTCGGCTAGATGTTTGGTGAAGTTGATTTGGGTTAATTATTTTGGGTCTTCTACAATTCTGGTTCTGAAAATTTTGGTTTATCTATTTGGTAAGGTCTTTTCTCTTTGTTTATTTGTGATTATTTGAAATTCACCTACGGGTGGTTTGTGAGACTTTTCGTGTCTCGTTTGTAATCGTTTGGAAACTATTTGGTTGATAGTGGAATCGGATTTCGATCCAGTGGACGTACCTCACATTGAGGGAACCACGTAAAAATTCTTGTGTTGCTTTTAATTTAATTTTTCTGCATTAATTTTTATTCTCATTGATTGATTTACTTGTGGGGAATCACATATTTTCCCAAACAAATAGAATAGAGCATAACATAACATTACTCCAACAACATTGAATAATATCTCTAGCATGAGTTAGTTCTTAGGACAAGTTCATAATCTAATTCAACCACTTGCATTATTAGAACAAATCAATGGCTTCTAATTATTGTATTAATGAAATGAGTAATGATAAAATCAGGAAGAAAAATATTATACAAAAATTAAATATACAATGATGTGATTCAATTTAAACCTATCATTTTAAAATCGAAGAATACATCAAGATGGTTTTTAGCTGCAAAAAGTTACCATGCCAAATTGTTTTAAGAGAATTACAGTCCAGGGGACTATTCAAAAAATATTTCCAAATGTATGAAAAAGTTTAAAATATTTTAATTATTAATTTTTTTACAGTTTATCATTGATGTGTATTTTTTTTTTTTTTTGTAATTTTGCACTGAATTTTTATTTCCCCATTTATTTTTGTGTCAATGATTCTACATATATATATATACATATATTTGGTTTGCAATTTTCAAAAATAGTTTTATGAACTTTTAAATTGTAATTTGGTATTTTTAAAAATATCTTAATCATTTTTTTAAGACATTTTAGATCCACTTAATTTTGGTATATTTAAAAAGTATAAAATGTGTACAAAAATCTTTAAAATTTTTATTGAATATAATAAAATACACAATTGTATTTAATTTAAATTTTTTTTTTTTTTTTGGCATTTGTTAGATTTTTACTTTTTTTTTACAAATATTATAATTTTTAAGTGAATCTAAACTAAGTGTATCAACTAAATAAAAAAATTACATAAAATATTTTTTTAAAAAAAATAGAAAAAATAAAAAAATTCAATTTTTTAAAAAGTGGATAAAAGTTAAAGAAAGTGCGACAGGGTATGATAGCAACATATTCATCCCAACTATAGTGAAATCCAAAGGCAAACAAATTCACCTACAAGCATCTATACCAAGAAAGAAAGCAAAAAAGTTGTTAAGGTACCAGCCAAAAGGCAGATAGGAACCAAACAGAATCATTAAAGTACCAATAAGAACAAAGCTTAACAGCAACCTTCCACACAAAAAAGGTCTCACCACACACTTGCAGCTTGTGAAGTAAGATAACCTCATGATTATAATTTTAAATTTGGATACATATAACATTGGTGGATATGTATTTTTTTTTTTTTAAATATCTTGATATTGATACATATTGATATACCAGTAAAAAAAAATTATATGCCCATTAATTGGCTGGGTCACAATATATATTGTTGATAGTTGATTCATAACTTAGTTCATAATCGATATAATTAGTTTGACTAGTATAAAATTTATTTTTACAGATGATAATTTTTTTTTTTTAAATAATCATATATCTTATATCGCTCAATGTTTTTATACCAATTAATATTAATTCTCCTTTCTGTACTATTATTTAAAACCTTATGAAATATTGTAAAGTGATTCGTACCAAAACTCAATAAAATGTGTTCACTAACTTTTTGACTTCAAAACATTCACAAGTTAGACTTTATATACAAATAATCTCTAGCCCTTTTTTATAGCCAAAAGATTTGTCTTATTTTTCCATTCCCACGTTTGACAATCTGGCCATTCAAACAGTCACATGAGTTGTTAGCCAGTAAGTTTTTATACAATACAATACATATTGGGGGTAGGTAGGCATATTCCATTTGACAGGCCACACAAGCCTACTCATTACCAAAATCAAACATTTTTCTCTATAAATTTGAAGACAAATAGCTTCTCATTACTACCACAATTAAAACACAGAGCAACAACCATGAGAGGAGTTGTAGACAAATCTTGCATTCTCTTCTTCCTCCTCCTCATTTCATCCTCCATTTTTGCTCACTCAAGATCGACAAAACTCGATCAAAAAAAGCCATGCAAACGCATGGTCCTCTACTTCCACGACACAATGTTCAAAGGCGACAATGGAGCGAACGCGACAGCAGCCACCATCGTCAACGCAAATGGGACAGGCCTCGGCAACTCCAAGTTTGGAAAAACAGTTGTTTTCGATGATCCCATTACATTAGACAACAACTTTCACTCAACTCCAGTGGCACGAGCTCAAGGGTTCTATTTCTATGACATGAAGACCACTTACAATGCTTGGTTTGCGTACACTTTGATATTCAATTCGACTCAGTATAAAGGTTCAATTAACATTATGGGTGCTGATATGATGGATGAACCTACTAGGGATCTTTCAGTGGTGGGTGGGACTGGTGATTTCTTCATGGCTAGAGGGATTACCACTTTTAAGACTGAAGAAGTTGAAGGTGCTGATTATTTTCGTGTTCAAATGGATGTTAAGTTGTATGAATGTTATTAGATTTGACAAGGTTGATTGTTGAGTGAATCTTGGTTTGTTGTCTTTGTTGGGTAAGTGTTTGGTTTGATAAGCCCAATGACTTGTACTACTAATGTCTGAGAAGTGAGAAAAATAATTTTATGTAACATTCTCTTGGTTTCGCTTTTTTTAATATATATATATATATATATATATATATGAGCATGATTTTACAAGATCTGTAAGTGTGATCGACTTTGAAAATTCTTGTTGATAATTTTTTATTTTTTTATTTTTTTTTAAAATCATGTAGATGGACAAGATTTTACATGATTTGTTGGTATGGCCATTTTAAAAAAATATTGTCCAAACAATGTATTTTTGTGTTCAAAATTGTGTTTTAATTTTCATATTGCTAGATCTTATGCCACGTTTATTATGGAACTTTATTCAGAAAAGGTATCCTAAAAAGAGTTTTCGTATGTTTAAAACTAATGCACTAGTTGTATTAATGATGGTGTTAGTTGTATTAATGATGGTGTGGTGTGGTTTTAGTTGTATTAATGATGGTGGGGGGTGGGGACGATATGAAAAAGGTGGAACTGTTTTGATGATGTTTGGATTCATAAGTCGCACCACATAACCCGTTTTGATGTAAATTTGATAGGAGTTTTATATATATCATTTATAATTGAAAAAAAAGTATATCAATCTGTTAGTAAAAATTTGATTTGAATCAAATCGACATGATTGAATGGATAGAGAAAATCAAAATTTCACAGACACACAATATCAAGCAGTTGTAATTGAGTATCTTTGCCTTGACAATTTCAAAGATTTTTTTGGAGGTGACCAAATGGAAAGAAACAAACACAAACTGAATTGAAATAATTGAAAATGTGACGGATTACATGAATTAGAAACAAGAACAATAAAATGTTTACAAATTAAGAACTGAGATTATAGAAAAACTACTCCTAAAGAGATAACAAACTTCTAAGGAAAATCTACTCTTACAGATCTATTCTAACTCATGTGTTGAGTGTTGATGATGATTGATTCTTTTTCTTTCTTTCTCCTACCTATTTATTTATAGGCTTATAATCGTATAGTTCCTTCCAAAATAACTGCTCAAGGTAGTTCCACAAAACAATTCTTCAATGATAAAGCAACCAATAATTCTAGCATCAACCCATGTGTGTCAGCTCCAACTGCCTTCCACTACTTCATTATGTATTCAATTGCCTCTTGCACAAGCAATAACATAGCAATAATAACAATAAATGTTTGTGACCATAATTTTATGTTAAGAATAATTTATGATTTAAATCGACAGACCAAAATTGATTGGTCATAATTAATAAAATTATATTTGGTCACAATCAACTAAAATAAATTTGGCTATAATCAACACGCCACAATTGACAGAAAGTTATTTTTTGGTGTCAACACAATCCGATAATCATAACATATTTAATTTATCGCGTTTGTTTATAATAATAATAAAAAAATAGACGATGAATGTATTTTTAAAAAATTAGACGATGAACGTATTTTTAAAAAATATAACATAAAACTTTATGGTAACAAAAATAAAATAAAAATATTTTCAGAAATGATAAATGATATATACGAAAAATCTTACAAAATAAAAACAGGACCAATAATGGGGCCACATAGGGATGTAAATCTGGCCCGACTTTGCCTGGCCCATGTCGGGCCTCACGAGCTCCCGCCAAAATTTGGGCAGGCCAAAAAATTAGGCCAAGTGGTATTTGGGCCTTGAGCGCGTCTGTGGGCCGAGCCTGGGCCTGGCCTCGGGCTTGGGCAGGTCTAACTTTTTTTTTTTTTTTAATTTTTTCTACCAAAATTTTATTATTTTCCATTAAAAAAAGACACTGGCCCTCGAGCCAGGCCTTGAGTAGGCCTTAAACAAGCCGATGGGCTGGGCAGGCCCCCAGGCCAAGCCGAGCTTCAAAATAATGGCTCAGGCATAGGCTCAGTGGCTCAAGCCTGGACTCAAACGGGCCTAAATTGGCCAGGCCCACCCCGAACCGCTAGCGGGCTTCAGGCCGTGAGCCATTTTTTAGACTCCTAGGGCCACAAATCTTAACAACACTCACAAATATAAATATGAATTGGAGGAAACCTAACACAAAAATTTAGTTATGAAGAAAAACTGATTAGGAGTTTTTATCAATAACACCTTTAGCAAGAGGGCCACAGGGTCGTCGTAGTCAAATATGTGTTTAGTGAGTCTGAATCTGATAAAGAAATTTATCATGGAATAAAATGTAAACAAAAACGTCATTCTTTCCCCATTTGACAATTCAATATTTTAGTTTAAAAGTCAAAAAATTATCTAAAAAATTAAAAATTAATAATTTATACTAAAAAGTTTTATCTTTTTTGAGTTACATTACTTTTCTATTTTTCTATTTATCTTTTAATAAAAAATTAAAAAATTATTCTAAATATATTAATTTTTTATCTCATATTTTAATTTAAAATTTTAAAAATTATTAAAATAATAAGTTTCTAAATGAGGCAAGTTCTTCATACAAAAATATATAGATAAATAAACATTCAGCCACCCAACAAAAAAAGGATATAGCAAAAAGTTTATTTATTTATTTTGACATTTACAAAAGACAAGATACAATACAAGTAGCCATATAAAAATAAGGGCATGGCTTCTGTTGGGTCTGTGGAGACCCACCACGAGTCCCGTTTTGATAATCTGAACCGTTAATGCGTAGAACTCGTCGAGTACTGTATACCTGTAAAAAATCACGTTAATCGGATATCAATAGCTATGTGATCAAATCAGTTTTGTATAAAAAAATGGATGGTGAATAAATTAACAGTTGACAAAAATCTGTTTTGATCACATAGTTATCGATATCCGATCAACGTAATTTTTTACAAGCATATAGTACTCGACGAGTTATACACATAGAACGGTTCAGATTATCAAAAAGGGACCCGTGATGGACCTTTATGGACCCAACAATACGATCCAATCCAATTAAGGACCGGACAAAAGTCATTCTCTAAAAATAAAAAGTGATTGTCAACAATAATTGAAATCATTAATTTATTTTGGCATTTACAAAAGACAAGATACAATACAAGTAGCCATATAAAAATAAAAAGTGATTGTCAACAATAATTGAAATCATTATGCAAAGGTCGTTGGTGACAATCTACTTTTTATCTGGCTATTACCATCCTCGTCAACGTTGTGACATAAAAATAAAAATAAAAAGATTTCCCCTCTGTTCAAATCTAAACCAGACAATATTATTAGAGGTCGTTTGAGAAGAAAGAAAAATAATCATAAAGTCAATACAAAATTTTATTTTTTTATTTTTTATTTTTTACATATTTTTCATAAAAAATATTAAAAAATCGATTCTTAAATGAATCTTAGATCTTATCATAAGACTTGTTTTGATAATTCAATTCATCTATTTTGAACAACCCTATTTGTTAAAAAAAAAAGAGAGAGAGAGAGAGAGAATATATATCAAAAAAAGTGAAAATTTTGAAAAATAATTACAAATTAATGAAAATACAAGTGATTTATGCACTAGATTGTGTATAAATCGCTTGTACTCTCATGAATTTGTAATTATTTGACTTATTTGGTTTGTCTCTTGAGAGACAATTTTTGAGAAAAAAAAATTAAAAATTTGTTTGGTTAAAATTTTTTGAAAAAAAAAAAATTAAAATCACTTTTCTCACTATTACACATTGTGATTTAAAATATTAAAATGAATAGAAATGTGAGTGGACGAAAAGATTAACGATATCCGATTAACTTAATTTTTTACAGGTATATTCTACTCGATGTACTCTAAAATGTAAACGATTCGAATTTTCAAAACAGACTCTGAAATAAGCCCATAATTCGCACAGCAGTGTTTGCTATGCTGGGCGCACATCTGGCACTCCAACTCCGGCTGCATGAGAGTGTTTTGCGGTGGATGGTCATATTGGTGTTGGTGTTATTGTTGGGATTTTCAAGCGAACATCATTGTTTGTATAGATTTTTTTAAGAATATGGTCAAAAGTTAATTGGTCTGACAGCTATCTTCATAAAATAATCCTTTATCTGAACAGCTATCTTCATTTGGGCATTTTGTAACTTCTACTCCAACTTTGTTGCGACAGTCTTGGGAGTGGTACGTTCAGAATGCACAACGACAAGGAAATTCGATAGCACATTGTCTTGTTGGAATGGCAGTGAAGTTAATTGGTCTGACAATTTGAATGGGAGTAATGTAAGATATCTCAAATAATTTATCAAATGTTTTACCAAACATTTCACATGAGCGTAAAACCTACACACGTGAATTTGTGTAAGTTTCACACCCATATAAAAAATTTGATAAAATATTTAATAAATTATTTAAAATCCATAACATTTTCCTTTGAATGATGGAGGTTTCACTCTCATTGTGGCCTTTAATCCTTGGTGATACTTTGTTTGATCTTTGATCTCAAATGTTTTCTGCTAAATAAATAAAAAATATATATGCCTAGACCAATAAGATGAATAAATTAGATTGACGATGTGGCAAGTCTACCAAGCCAGACAACATTATTGTGGTGAGCACAGATGACAAGTACATTTATTCAAAATAAATGAGTCTTTGGCGCAACTTCCAAATAGACTTATGAGACCCAAAAATTCTTTTTATTAAAACTATATTTATTTGGTGAGATTTTTCAAATGGGTTGTTACCAAAAGCGCATCCCTTTGGAAGTTGATTTTGCTGAAGCTAAGTTGAATAGTTTCTGAAACAACTTTGCAGCTTAAATGGTAATTATTCAACGCCTTTATTATTGTCTTTAGAATAAATGTTAAATAATATTAAAAAATTAAATATTTTTAGAAAAATTAGTAAAATATTTCTCTCTAATTTTGGATAGTAGAAGATAGTTAATATATTTTTTCTTACTTGTTAAAGTATCTTAATAATATTATTAGAGAAATTTTAACTCGTCACAAAGAAATTTCTCTATGAAACTAAAATTTCTCTTTGAAAAACTAGTAGTTCTTTGTGAAAAAAGAAATTTCTTTGTGAAGAACTTTGTGAAAATATTACATGTCATTTATTTTATAAAATCCTAATACCAGATTGTTGGAACAATCTTCTGTGTACAATAAATAAATTGAAACAAAATCA